CCATTTGATGATTTTCATTTTCTTTCACACTATTAAATTTCTTATTTGCCGTTCGCACAATTTATTTTATTTTTTTTAATGTATTAACCCCTTTAAGTCTCACTGATATTTCATGCTGTCATTGCAATCTGGAATCCGGGAGACCCTATAATTGTGTATGATACGTCCTTCTAAATTAGCCCCTGCAGCTTCATACCTACCTGCTGTCTCTGAATGAGGACATTCCATTTTAATAGGATCTTTAAAGTTCAGACATATTTGAATGTCTTTGGTTGTAAAAGGGGTTAAAGCTCTTATCTTCTGCTGTGCTTTTATATTACCATATTTTCTACGATAAGTATTCGAGTTTTCTAATGTGTCAGCTACAAAACAACGGGGTCATTTCTATTCCCGGTGCATCATGCGTTTGTCTGTTATGAAGTGTTTTACAAGTCTATTTATGAGATTTGTGCTTTCTTTATCGAGATACTTAGCACATTTTTGTTTGTTTTTCTGTTTTGTCTCTTTTTTTTGTTCCTTTCCAGGAACATTCGGGAAGAGTGTTTCGGCTGCAGTTTGATGAATTCCAGATAGTAAGCAGTTCTCACGATGACACAATTCTCATCTGGGATTTTCTCAATGATCCAGCTACACACGCGGAGTCTACGCGATCCCCTTCTAGAACATACACGTACATCTCCAGATAAATAACACCATGTAGTACCTCACAATTGCACAGGTAAGCTGCCAGTCTGCAAAAACACCATAGTTATGTTAAACCGTTTTATTCATTGAAGTGTGACTTGCTAGAAACTAAAAACTAAATTCAAATTTACGATCAAAATAGCCGTATGGAAAACATAGCTGACTAGGAGGATTTGTGCAAGTTGGCTCGGTTACACTTTGCCTATTTAGACCGAAGATAGAAGTTTTACTTTGAATTTGGAAAAGTTTAGGAAATAACTCTGCAAGTATTTCCATTTAAAGGCACGCGTCACACACCTATAGCTCTTTAACTTATTGAAGAGCGGGGTCCTCTTTTTCTTATTGCAAAACGTGCAGATTTCAGTAGAAATTGCACTTTTTTAAATTCATTTTTACACATCAGTCACACAGCAGGTACCGTTACTTCCTGTTTTTTTGGCTCAGTAAAAATAAACTCAAGGACAGCCACAGAAAGTCTGGGCGGGGATAAAAGGGGAGGGCTTGCAAAGGCTGCAGATGAGATCTGCAGGTTTTGCAAGCAGTGTTTAGATATACCCACCAATGAAAAAAAAAAAAAAAAGCATAATTAACCGAATGCATGTTTTCATTGGTGTATGTCTACTAAATGGTGATTTATTTTTGTATTTGGGCAGTGGAGTGTCCCTTTAAATATAGGCTAAGTGTTTAGTATCGTGTGAGCACCCGTTTACATGGACTTCATTTGTGCATTTGATTTCAGCCTTAAGACCATCTTTACAGCTGAGTTAACTAGTGTACAAGAAACCCACAATGAATATCACTGAGAGTCTCACATACATGAAGTATTTGTATGAGCCTGAGAAACCCAGCTTTAAAGATTCCGCAGTGCTGTGCAATATATAAACACAAGTGCTGAAGTAGACGTAAGATGCTACAAACCGGCTTGTTATAGACCTTTTAAAAGAAAATCAAAATTGTAGACATATTTAGTATTTGTTGCTCAAAAAACAGTATAATTAATAATAATACTAAACGTGCAAGTTTGTTTTGCGTATTTTCTTTCTTTGGGGGGAATGTGAAATCTTGGTTTGCAATAGCTGCACATCTAGTATCTGCAGCTACTTCAGGTCCCCTCCTTTGTCCCAAGCACAGACTGTGTGTGGCTGTCCAATTTACAGCTTCCAGGAATAAACGAGATCAACTGTGTGATTGACCGCAACAAAGTTAATTTATAAAAAGTGCCAATGTTAATTGAAATCGGTAATTTTGTGAAATAAGAGTGAGCAATTTTCACACATAGAGCGCTCTTTTTAATTTGAAGAATTGCATTCCTAATGTTCAACTGTATTCTGTGTGTAGTGTCTAAAATAAGATAAATTGTTTATTTATTTTTTTGGCTTTACCCAATTGTTTTTTTTTTTTTCTTTTTTTGTAATTCTATTCAGTTTATTTACAGGAAAACCTGAGAATTCTCATCTTTGCTCTCATGCAGGACTTTATTTGAAAAGTATGGTAACTGACTCTGTGAATGCTGGGAAATGTCCTATTTGACCAGTATTTGATGAAACCTGAAGAGAACCCTGGATTAGTGCTGTCGGCATCGTGATGCAGCTCAGGCCAATCTGCAGAGAGGACTGCTGAAGTGCTGCTATTGGAAGATACTTTTCATATAACTCCTCGTTGTCACAGGGGCCTGCCGCTTTCTCTCCAGCAGCGGCTTTGCGGACCCCTGTGTTAGCGACTGTGGTGAAACGTTGCAATTTTGAATGGAGAGAGACAATTCATGCCACAGATCCTTCAACTATATCTAAATGTCTTGTCGGCATTTCTGTTGCTTTTCCGTAAGCAGAAATAGAACAATTTTCACCATGTCCCATGCACGCAGTGCACTGCTTTCCGTGTGGTTATAGTGAGAAATCCAAATTTCATTTTGCAAGTACTTGTAAAGGTGCGAGTAGGTGATTTTTTAATTTTATTTTTCTTGCTTTTATGAGAATAACGAAGACTGCCCCATTACATCTGTTTTTATCATCATGCATATGAAATATTTTTTTTTGTTTGTTTTTATTTATATATATTATTTTTATTTTATTCTATTTTTTTCATATTGTTTTTGTTTTATTTTTCATTCTTTAGTGCTTGTTTATACATACCTTTTTTTCATGTGTATTCTTAAATCAAGTGATGTAGAAGTGTGTATAATACATGAAAGGGACATTAAAATGTAGATGAAAAAATACACCGATTAGACATGTTTTTATCATGGCAAAAGATACATTTGGGGAAACGATCACACTTACAAGATCCCCAATTCAATACATGTCTCGGTCTACGATCTCTTGTGCGTTACTTTTAGCCTTGTATTTCTTTTTCATTCACACTTGAAGTTGACTGGTATCTTCATCCCTTTTCCTTAAGCCAAATTTTGTTTTTGTTTTTTGTTTAATTAACACTAAGCATTAATTAATGGAAAACACAATGGAATCACTGACAGGTGACATTTTGCTCCCTTTTAAAGAGGAATTAGTATTTTATTTTACTAATTATTTATTGATTTTATTTGTGGCTAATTTAAGTCATTTTTGATAACTAGCACTATCAACTATTACTGCTAGTTGTTTTTTGTTTTGTTTTTATTCTATTTCCAAGCCAAATTCATTCTAACATTTTTGCTATTTTCTGTTTTTCAAAACCTCTTCCCAACATATTTTCATTTATCTTACTTATCAGAACTATCACTTTAACGCTGTTAAAATTGAAGAGATAGCAGGTTATTATCAATAGGTATTTTTGTTAGAGGTCGTCAGTTCAATGTTGGTAGGTTCATGTTGAGGATAACTTATAAAAGTTTGACCACACTAACTCGACGTTTGCCTCCTCATTAAAACATTTAATTCCATGCAATATATTGTTTTTAAATCATTTGGCCTTCAGTGAGATCATATCAGAAATAGAAACTGTAGCACTTAAATGATATAGACCTCTCTCAAAAAATAGCTGTTAAAATACACTGTTATAGCCATCTCACAAAATGTGGTGGTGGTGTTTTTTTTTTTTTTGTTTTTTTTTATTGACGGACTTGATTAGTGTCATTGGAAACACAGCCTTTTGGAATAAAATGCAAGGTAGCTTTACTCTGTCATTCTAACTAATTTTGAAGAACTTTAGCTAGTTGTTTCTATTATTTTCTGACAACTGCAGGGGAGAAAAATAAAGCTTGTAAAATATATTTCGACCCGTCTCCAAGAGGCTGTCTGCAGACGAGAAAAAAGATTAATTGAGAAAGTTGGTGATGAGTTTCAGTGTCTTATACTCTCTTCCTGCTTTTATTTTATTTTTATTTTTTTCCCTCGTGTCTTCTAATGTTTTAGTCTACAAAAAAACGGGAAGTATAGTTTCATTTAGCAGAACATTTATTTGACCCCTGGCATGCTTTAATTCAAGCGGAAGCATACATCACCAACCTTGGATAAAGTGTTATGTAGCTTTTTCATAATCTTTAATCTCAACTCAAATTCTAGTAGCAAATATGAAGAATGAGTGATTGTGCAAAGTGTAATGACACAAACATCTTTATTTTATTGTTTTAATGTTGTTGAGAAGTCTCCAACACATTTCTTAACTCTTTTAGTGCCAGGGCAAAATTTGGTTACTAATAATTGCAAAATGAATCGGGTTGTTTATGTCAAATGTCCTTTAAATTAAAAATTACTCTAAATTCTCGTGGAATATAAATATTTAAAATGTTTTTGTATTTTTGTGAATAATCGGTGTAAACGTGAGCGTCTTTCAGTTTTGTATCCCTTTCTGCCCAAGTGTAGTAGTTATTAAATGAAAGGGGTTATTAAAAATAATAATTTAAAAAGGTAAGAAGTAAAATAAAGGATACAGGCAACTACATCAAATTGTGCAATTTGCCATTTTAAAAGGGAAGACGCAAACATTTTTTATTTTTTGTTTAATCATAGGATCACCTATTTGTACTGCCAGTATACGTGCACATTGCGAATGCATTTTTTTTTTTTTTTTTTTTTAATTTTATTTTCTTGTGCAGATGGTTACAGCAGGGCCAGTAGAGCCACACATATCTAAGCAAAATTTAAAAGCATTTCATAATAGGCTGTGTAGTCGCACACCATGGAATGCATTTTTAAAGGAGTAAAACACCATTTGATGCAGAGAAACAAATCCATGTCCCTACTCAACCAAACTGTTTAATATTTATCTAACAAATCTACTTTTGGTCTCACCCTAAGACACATGTCTATGGTCCTTTTTGTAATGCTCTGTGTTGGGTCTCACTCCCAAGACACACATGTCTATGGTCCTTGTAATGCTCTATGTTGGTCTCACTCCTAAGACACACGCCTATGGTCCTTTGTAATGCTCTATGTTGGTCTTACTCCTAAGACACGCGTCTATGGTCCTTTGTAATGCTCTATGTTGGTCTTACTCCTAAGACACGCGTCTATGGTCCTTTGTAATGCTCTATGTTGGTCTTACTCCTAAGACACATGTCTATGGTCCTTTGTAATGCTCTATGTTGGTCTCACTCCTAAGACACATGTCTATGGTCCTTTGTAATGCTCTATGTTGGTCTCACTCCTAAGACACATGTCTATGGTCCATTGTAATGCTCTATGTTGGTCTCACTCCTAAGACACATGTCTATGGTCCTTTGTACTGCTCTATGTTGGTCTTACTCCTAAGACACATGTCTATGGTCCTTTGTAATGCTCTATGTTGGCCTCACTCCTAAGACACATGTCTATGGTCCATTGTAATGCTCTATGTTGGTCTCACTCCTAAGACACATGTCTATGGTCCATTGTAATGCTCTATGTTGGTCTCACTCCTAAGACACATGTCTATGGTCCTTTGTAATGCTCTATGTTGGCCTCACTCCTAAGACACATGTCTATGGTCCTTTGTAATGCTCTATGTTGGTCTTACTCCTAAGACACGTCTATGGTCCATTGTACTGCTCTATGTTGGTCTTACTCCTAAGACACATGTCTATGGTCCTTTGTAATGCTCTATGTTGGCCTCACTGCTAAGACACATGTCTATGGTCCATTGTAATGCTTTATGTTGGTCTCTCTCCTAAGACACATGTCTATGGTCCACTGTAATGCTCTATGTTGGCCTCACTCCTAAGACACATGTATCTGGTCCTTTGTAATGCTCTATGTTGGCCTCACTCCTTAGACACATGTCTATGGTCCTTTATAATGCTCTATGTTGGTCTCACTCCTAAGACACATGTCTATGGTCCTTTGTAATGCACTGTTACAAACTCATTGTACAGAGCACTAGTTCAGGCGAATAATATGCTGTGGGTTTGGATTGAATCCACAATGAAAATGAAAAAAATATATAAAAATATACGTCCTTTCTGAAAATGTCATTCTATTAAATAGCATGCTGCTATTTCTTTCTTGTTTATCAATAAATTAAGGAACATAAAATGCAATTTTTTACCCACAGATAATATGTGAACAGATATGGAATTAGCTGGAGTCGGATCCACAGTGGCAAATTTACTTGGAAAATGTTTTTTCTTTCATGCTGTACTTTTTATGTATCAGAAAAAAATAATAATAATGATACGATTGTCAGACTATGATGCTTCAGCTCATTTAGCACTATCCAAAGTATGATGTATAATAAAAGAATGAAAGATTAAATGTTTTGTCAAATGATGAAACCAATTAATAGTTTTGTTTGTTGTTGTGATGTATGCCTTGTACCGATGCATGGAGGTAACCTTTAAGAGTTTGGTGTCGATAGGGTAAACCTGTTTGTATTTGAGCAACATTGAATAGAATATTTCATACTTAACAGCACTATAATACTGGATCGTTTAACTCACAACTTTCTGTGTTTTACTATTGGACGTGATTTTTGTGATGTGTTTTCAATATTGGTAGTTCCTTGTTTTTGCAAGGAGCTTGGAGTGGATTTCTTGAATATTGTCATATTAAGGAATTACCACCTCTTCAAAGCTCGGCATCTTGGCAATTTGTTGCCAAAGATTCCAGCTTGTGATGCTGAATTAACTGCAATGGGTACACCTCTAATGTTCTGCTTTTATGATGCAAATCATAGGTAGACAACCTACTGCTCTCCAACTTTTGATGAACTCAGAAATTAAAACACCCATGTAACAAGTTGCTCTGTATTTTGTTATCAAAATATGGCAGCATGGTGGAGGGTGGGAACAAGGGGTTTCTTTGTAGGAGTATGTCATATTTACTGTTCTGGGGATCTCTTTTGAGTTGCAAGATCTAAAATAGTTGTGCGGAGAGCAAAATGTGATAAAACTCTGCACTGTTGTGTTTTGTTCTCACAAATTTACATTTAGCTATATGGTGGCCACTCTTAGACCAGAGCCAGGACGGTACTGATGAGTCAAAACTGTACGTTCATGTCCACGTTGTCTGATCATTGGTTATTGCAAACCTTGCTTTGGTTTATCGTCTTACCTTGGTCCCTGCCGGGCATCCCTAGTGATAGCTGCAGAATTTAACCCAACATTTTAGAAGGTTTGATTTCTTAGCTGGGTCTCGGAGCTTCTGGCATTGAGCGACACCTGGCGTACCCCAGTTAAGAAGACAAGCTGTTCTAAAACAGTTCAACTCTGTATAATGGGGCCACTTCTGGTGCTCTGTAGTGGTTATGGAGCTTTGAGTGTGTCTTTAAATATGTAAAAATACAATGTGTAACTTTTTCTCTATGGTGTTAGGAACGTGCATGAATAGGTAAGTAATCTCCCTCCACCAGTGGCATATCTACCCTTTCCTCTTTCACATACTCTTCCTTCATAAAAGGGTATGCTCTGTAGTTTTTTCGGCAGTTCTTGGCAGAGCAAGAACTCCGAACTCTTAAATAACACAAGTACAGTAACCGGTAAAGGCGCAGAACTTCAGTTTGTCTGCTGGATCACTGGGTATAAAAAAAGTTTCCAAGCCCTTGGCACTTGTCACGATTATAAACCCTGCAACCTTTTTTTGGTTGTGCCTAGTGGTTAACCTAATCTCCGAAATTGTGCCAATTTCAGTTCATCAAATGCTGGATTAACACCAGTTGCCTACCTATGATTGTATCCAAAAAGCATTCAAAGTTCTACAGCTACATTGCTTCATAAAACTACAGTAACAACCATTAGAATGATGCCGCTTATATCCTTATCCAGTTAATGTATTGAATGGTAAGCATGGGCTATAATGAATATTAATTGTATGCTGGTAGTCTTTAAAAAATGTACATTTATTTTTATAGATGACTTATTGTGAGCTTTGGAGTTTACTTGAGATTTACATACCAGATAACAAGTAACTGAAAAAAATGTCAAACCATCCACACTTTTCCAAACAGACAGTGAATTTGGTGCTTTATTACAATCTTGGTTTTTCAAAGTATGGACATAAATCTCAGAATACTATAGTTCTTATCACCACGTGTATAACTGCTTTTCTTACAACTTTGATAATAAAATGCTTGCATTTCAAGACTGTCTGATGTGAGTCAGAGTATTTCATTTTTCCGTAACAATATTTAGAGTTGTTGCCTTACTCATGAAAGTCTAAATAAATAATTTCATCATGTTACAATTTAATTTTTTTTTTCTGTCATTCCCAGAATTGAAAAGTGAAATTTAAAAAAAACTAGAAATGTGGTTGTTAATGTGACGTACTGTTTATTTGCTCTAAGATCATGGTATCATTTTTTCATTGTTCAACAGAAAGTTTAAAATAATAAACTTTACTAATTTGATTATGATTTCAGTTTTTTTCTGTCTGTGGGTTTAAAACTAAAAGGTAGTGGGGAAAAATAAGATTTACTTTTCTTTGAACCGCTGTTCCATTATAACATTTTTCAAAAGGGATAACATTTAATTAATTTCACTCTATAAAGTACTTCCATGAAAAACAGTAATAAAAAAGTAATTCTTATTTTATTGCTGTGCCTGTCAGAAGATAAGAAATGCATTGTGCTTTACAAAACTGTCACAATGATCTTTGGAACGGTACCTAAATTACACAGATTACACAATTCCCATCTATCCATCAAAACAAATTCAAATGTCATACTGACCGCAGTCCGCTCTTTCAAATACCTGGGTATGTTGTTAGACCCCAATCTATCTTTTGGCCTGCACATAGAAAAGCTTGCATCTAAACGTTATCCAAAACTAGGGGCCCTGTACAGAAACAAATCCTGCCTAAGCCCTACAGTAAATTAAAAGATTGTACAGCAAGTGCTGATACCAATCATTGACATACTTGAAAACGAGAGAAATCTCAATGTGTATTTCCTGGTAACTAGTTTATAAATAAATACATTATGGGGGTGTAGTATATGTACCTGCACCGCAAACCCACCTTAATAAATTTAATACATTGTATAACTCGTTCTGCCGCTTTGTGCTACAGTGTAAGCAATGTACAGGACACACCATTGTGAAATGCTAAAAGAACTAAACTGGCTGTCGCTGGAATCCAGACGCACTCTTCATCTTTCCAGCCTTGTGTTTAAGAGCATTTCTGGGAAACTCCCACCCTACCTGAGCAGAATGCTCTCCCCGGCTGTTCCCACCTCCCATAACCCCTGATTCAGTACCAGCATTTTATTTAGTCTACATTAATACAAAAAGAAAGCAGCCCAATCCTCCTTTTCCTACAGAGCACCGCAATTATGGAACGACCTCCCGCACACTTTTAAATTTTCCCAAAGCCTAAAATCCTTTAAGAGATCCCTCTCTCAAAACAGAATGCACCTGTCATGGTTGATTATATATTTCCTACCTGTTCTATGTTAAATTTTGTATATATTGTGTATTAATATTGTTTTTGTATTTTATTGTACCCTAATGTAACAATGCAATGTTTTGTGGACCCAGGACATACTTCGAAACGAGAGAAATCTCAATGTATCCTTCCTGGTAAAATATTTTATAAATAAATAATTTGCGATTTGCGCATGACGACCTGTTAACAGAAGTGTCCAAATTTCAGCAGAAATCAGGTAACACCCAAAAGTGCCCAAACACAGTTCATTACCCTTTTATTTATGTAGTTGTTTAGTTAAAGTTACTATTTCTCCTTACCAGGAAGGGTCACACAAAATGTTCTATCACACTAGTAAAATCAGGGGGCTGAGACTATAAACTCCTAGAAAAACAAGGACTACATGGCTACAGTGGTTATGGTGCTAAGAGAATCCCTTTAAACACTTCTGTGGTTGTTGGATCTTCAATAGTGATGTCGCGAACCCGAAATTTTCGGTTCGCGAACGCGAACTAACGCCAATGTTCGCGAACCGGCGAACCGCCCGAAACGCCATTGACTTAAATGGGCAGGCGAATTTGAAAACACACAGGGACTCTTTCTGGCCACAATAGTGATGGAAAAGTTGTTTCAAGGGGACTAACACCTGGACTGTGGCATGCCGGAGGGGGATCCATGGCAAAACTCCCATGGAAAATTACACAGTTGATACAGAGTCTGGTTTTAATCCATAAAGGGCAGAAATCACCTAACATTCCTAAATCACAATCAATATGGATTGACACCTGACATATGACATATTGACACCTTGACATATGGATTGACACCTGTCCTCAGAGCCCCTGATGCACACGGACACAGAGCAGAATAGAGACTGGTCCCCCTACATAGGGTCACTTGGCAGATATGGATTGACACCTGTCCTAAGGATCCCTGATACACACTGACACAGAGCAGAATAGGGACTGTTCCCCCTACATCGGGTCACTTGGCAGATATGGATTGACACCTATCCTAAGGATCCCTGATAAACACTGACACAGAGCAGAATAGGGACTGTTCCC